CGCCATTTGTGCCAGTCCCTGGGCTCCCGGAGCAGTGCTCCAGCGCGCTCCGGCCCCAAAAGACCCCTGCATATTGGCAATGATAAGTTCTAGTGTAAAAGTACACCAAAAATGTATTGGCAGGGATGCTACTGTTCATTAAATGGCAGGACTACCAACTAAAAATGCTATGACTGGATCAAGTCCTTGGAGAACAGAGATTTCCTTGCCTGGAGAAAAGCAATAATGATTGTTTAGCTGTGCAATTGTCAGGACTTCCTAGAAGTTTGTGTTCTCTGCCTTTTTAAAGAGTTAAGCTGGGTATCTGCAGTCCATCAGTGACTCTGACAGTAAACATGACATTCTGGAGGTCAGCAATATCATTGGCTTATGGGCCAGTGCTTTGGGGCTGATCTACCACTGACCACTTTCCTTCAAACTCCATTACCAAGAAATGTGGGCTGAAAAGGCAAAGGACTGTTTTCTGTCGCTTGCAAAGGTGCGGTTTTAAGGGGACAATTTTAAAAGGAATTAAACACATTCTGTCACTCAGTAGTTCCACATGTCCAGGAGCCAAACTTGATCCTACTCAACTGACAAATGTTATTTTTTATTTATCGACTTCATTTATAGCAGTGCTTTTCTCACTGATTACAAAATACAGAAAATTTCTGTCATACAGCATATTGATCCTCATGACTCATGAATGCAGATCAGTTTTAGCTGGATTTGTTCTGTGTTTGTGTGTGTGTTTATAGAAAATGTTTCCTCTGTTTTTACTTTGATGTTGTAGAAGAAGATAATTTTTTTACCAAAAGACCTTAATCTCTGTGTGTGCAGCCAGCTATTAACCTGTTAGAGACTGTTGTTTTACAACAGTGCCCTCCGCTGGGCAGAACACAATACAAACCTTTCTCACATCACTCTCAACAAATTAGGCACAGAAAAACATGAGAATCTCTACATGTAACCTGGTCATCAGAAACATTATCACCTCTCTCACATAAAATAGAGAGCACACAGCTGGCACAGGAAAGCTCATACACCACATATTTCAGTCGGTCATATTTCAAAACAAGATAGCAGAATCTCTCTCTCTCTGCCTAAGAAACGTGCTGGAAAATGGCTGAGTACTATTGTTCATAACCATTGTTCCACAGCCATCTTCTGCTTCATCACATTTCTTGCACAAACAATTCTGCTTTAGTGTCTTGTTGTTTCGCTGGTTTCCTTTCAACACGCCGTCTGGACTGGGCCATCTTACTGCCTCTGTGTCTTTTACTACAGGATCGTTTTTGAACAGCCTGAGTGCCCTTTAAAGGGTCCTTCCCTTTGAAAAAAATAGTGGGTGGATTGAACTAGTTGTCAGACCTTGAGTACAGGACATCCTGAATGTGAATTCCAGAGTTCATAGCTCTGTGTTAACATTAAGGGGAGACGGGTAAGCAAAGGACAGAAAATTCCAAGTAGGCTAAGTTAAGCAGGAAGCCTGCTTTTGCTCAGCTGTGTATTAAATCATTGCAATATAACTGATAACTGATGGAAATCATTGAAGCATATGTGGCAGAGGCTGTTCTTTTTGAGAAGAAGGCTGAAGCTGAAAAATCTAGCAAATCAGCTAATTGACGCAAGTGCGGCAACTCCTCCAAGGCTGCTAGTCTGTGAGGAAATGTGTGTCTATAAAGCAGGCAATTACCTAAATGCCTCGTTCTATCTTTCTTTCCCTCAGGAACACACTGACAATGTAGAATCCAAACGCCTTTCCTTAAAACCACGGCTTTCTTTATGCAAGCTTCTACTATGTGTTCTTCACCTACATTTGGGAGGGAAAAGAAGCAAATTTTGTTCTATCATATTGTACTGAACTCTGATTAGAAGTCCATGTATGCATAAATCCAGCATTCTGGGACTAGAAAATTGGGGAGGAAGAGGTTTGTTAAATGCTTAAATTTCATGCTTGTGGGAAAGTTCAGTTTTATAAAACTTCCAAAAGGCTGACATGTATGAAAAGTGGAGGGGAAAATTTAAGAGCTCAGGGATAGATCTGCTGATCTGTATCAGCGCAAAATGAAGAAAGCCCCTTCACAACCAAGGGAAGCCTTTCCAGATTCTCACTGATTTGTTTGTCTGTAATAGAAAAGGACACAGCCTTTAACCATTGCCTGAGTAACCTCCATGAAAATGAATGAAGAGTGTACTTTTGTGCCAGGTAGATTTATGGGATGTGTCCTTAAACAAGAAGGTAAGAAATGCTTGGAGTGCTACAGAAAGGCAGCAAAACCATTACTTAGGCAACACGTCTGTATAGTCTGCTATCCCATAAAAAAAATCCTTCATGGCCTTGGTGCCTGGTATCTGCAAGACCGCCTCCCCCCTTTGCTCTGCCAGGTCAGTTGCATTCATCTGAGCACTGCTTTCTGCAGCTGTCAGCCTGCAAATGGGCAGAATCAACAACTGCCTGTATACATGCTTTCTCCATTGTGGCCCCCACCTTATGCTTGACAAGGCCCGGAAGGCTCCCACTCTCCTGACTTTCCATAAACTATGCAAAACTTATTATTCAAGAAGACCTTTCTACACAGGTAATAAAAACGGTTCAGAAAGATAACTTGGGTAAAGGGTCAGGGACTGTGGTCCTTACTGCGGTGTACAGTTCACACCGTCTGTTGTTGTAAGTAGGATCTGACTGTGTAACTTTGGATTGTTTATCGTGTCATGTTGCTACTTATGATTTACTTCAGTTCTGTTTCAGATTTCTGGTTAGCTCCAGGTTTCTACAGTCCAAACCCAATTGCATTGTTTATTGAATGTTTCATCCCGTGGGTCGTATCGATGTTCTCTTTGTAATCCGCCTTCAGTTCCAGTGGAAAAGGCGAGCTATAAATAACATAAACACAATATAATAGCATAAATGACATCATAAATAACATAATAACATAAATACAATATAATAGCATAAATGACATCATAAATAACATAATAAGTAACATAAATGTTGTTGTTGTTCTTCAATCGCACAGTCGAATCTGACTCTTCGCGACCCCATGGACCAGGTCACGCCAGGCCCTCCTGTCTTCTGCTGTCCTCTGAAGTTCACTCAATTTCATGTTCGTTGCATCTATGACCCTGTCTAACCATAATACAATACAATAAATACAATACAATACAATAAATAGGAATGAATGAAGCAAGCATTTCAACTAACCATTCATTTAAAATTCCAACCTGACCTTTGCTTAAACTGAAACTCATTTGCAAAACTATCAATTGAAGAAGGTGTTACACACAGGGTGTGCTGTCAAATTTTAGATAAGGACTGTTCTTTCTTTTTTTTTTCCCCAGTGGAAGATCAGATGTTTCGTTCCGTGGAAGGCCAGGCAGCATCTGATGAGGAGGAAGAGAAAGTGACTGGGGACCAGCCCTCTCAGGTGGCTGAAGTGAAGAAACTCCTAGCCAGACTTCCCTGCTGTAGTAGTGGGTATGTCTCCATGAAAGACTTGTACATTTATGTCTTTTAACATTTTTAATCAACCTCTCAAATGCTGTGGGGCTTAGCAAAAAGGTATAGTGGCTTTCAGATAAGAAGATGCAATGTAGTTGGATCAAATAAAAGAAGGCAGTAGTGCCTTGGTGACTATCTCCACCAATTACCGTAAAGAATACATGTGAATAAAATCTACCTTATCTTGTTCTACCTGCCTATCAACCATGGTCTCAGAAGGGGTCCTGATCCACTCCGAATAAATTGATGATTCTTTTGGTTGGATATTGGTTTTGACTCATCTCTCTTTGTAACACACACACCCTTCTACTGTCTGTATCTTTGAGTATACATCTGCCTAATGATTTGAACGCTTCATTGATGAAGTAAGCTTTGACCCACAAAAATGTTTGGAAGAAATACTGTTAATCTTGCGGTTGCCACTGGAGAGTGACACTTCCCACGTGGCTTTCTCCAGCGTTCAGAAGTACTATGCTGATTTCATGCCAGGAGCAAGAGCCAAAGGCCACAATCCTAGACAGTGTGTTAGCTTATCAGAAAACAACTGTGGATACCACTCAATTTGTCTTTGAAGTTTCTGTTGGGAGTTGCTCGTACAATGAAACACACAAGCTGATTTTGAACATGAGAAGCCGCTTGACTTGTATGAGCAACTGCGTAGAAACTCCACTCTCAGTATTTTGTTGCCCATGCACATAGCTTTTTGGATGACAATCAGTAACAAAAACCAATGACATTGTCCTACATTTAGAAAGTCATTTTAGAAGTGCATCATTCATTATTAATGCCAAATGCGGTGCTGTTCTGCGATAGTCAATAAATGATCAATTTCTCATGATTTTCATTCCTTCCCTGCACTTCTGAATCGTGTGTCCTCCCATAGTGGTTTTATAAACCAACAAACCCATATAGAATGTATGAGGCCATCTTTGATGATATATCCCAACTGCTAGCACTTTGTTATATTGTAAGTTAGTTTTGATCATTTGTTATGGAAGGGCTGATGAATTGCTTTTAGATGTTTATTATATCTATTGTTATTATGTTTTGATGATGTTAGCTGCCCTGAGCCTGCCTCGGTGGGGAGGGCGGGGTATAAATTTAAGCAAATAAATAAATAAATATAAAAGAATGAAGTTTGTGCACAAGGATGCCCTGGTCTAATATATTCCAGTAGCACCTTAAAGACCAACAAGATTTCCGGGGCATTAGCGGACAAAGGGAGCTTTGACTCTCCAAAGCTTATATCCTGGAAATCTTGGTGGTATTTAAGGTGCGACTTAACTTGAATCTTATTGGTCTAACCCTGATATCTTACCCTGTTGGCTTGGGAAAGGCCATCTGTGTCTCTGGATTTGTTCGATTACGGTGACAAAGTCATGTGAACCTTCCTTCCCACAGATGTGATGACCCTGTGGTGAAGAAGCTGATGTCCTACCTTGGCAACATTAGCAGGGATGAGAGCACCGTTGTGGAACTAGTCAAGAGACTCTCACAGTTAATGGAAGAGCTCGAGTCCAAAGGGCAAGAAGTGAAAAAACTGGAAATAAATATGGAAGAGGTAAATTCTTTGGTACTGTGCCTTCTTTAAATAAAATCCAATAGGTCCACTGCACAGAGTTGGGTCCAAAGAGCCCCCTATACATAATGGCTGCTGGTCTCATGGTTTTGTTTCATGATCCATAAATTGTCAGAAAGCAATGTTACAGTCTTCTTGCAGGGCTACTTTCAGCTGGGGGGGGCAGAAGTAGGGGTGTGCAGTTTTTTTAACTGATATTTTCCATTTTGGGTCTATTGGACCTGGAAAAAAATTGAGATTCCTGAAAAATCACGGATCCTAATTCCCGTATGGGAATTCCAGGATTTTTCAGATCCAATAAACCCAAAAAGAAAAATACAGGTTAAAAAAAAGCCAGCCTGATCCTGCTCTGACTTCTCTCGCAGCCCGGTTTAAACCACACTGCAGGAGAAGCCAGCCCCAAGCCGAGCCAGCAAGAACAGTCTGTTCCCTGCCGACTCAGCTGATCCTTGGGCTGTTTTCTGCAGTCCCTTTAAACTTTAAAGGGCCTGCAGTAGAAGCCCAACAAACAGCTGAGAAGCGGGAACAGATTGTTGTTTTTGGATTTACACGATAATCCCCAAATATACCCGGGATTTTGTCAAGATTTTTTTCCTGAGAAAACCAAGATATATTTGGGATGCCAAAATATACCTGGAAAATACCGATAAGGTATTTTTTGCATATATTTTCAGCTTGGGTAGATCCAAACGCACACCCCTACTCAGAAGCCTTGATGTGCAGATGGATCTCTCTGTATGGTCCTCTGGATCACAATTAGCCTCTGGGCAAAGGCTTAGTCTAATTTAGAGTAAGCTTGTTATAGTTCCAGAACTCTCTATTTTTGGCTATGGACTTCTCTGTATGGCTCTAAGCATGCATTGTCTTGTGCTATATGCCATATCTTGCTGGCTGCAAGGTGTGATCTTAGCATTTTGAAGTGACATCATTTATATTTCAGATATGTATTTGTAAGTAGATACCATGTAAATAGAGTTTGCATTCCTTGCCCTGTACCACAAATCCTCCCTTTCCCAAACCACCAGTTGTTAAAAGCATCTACAAGGAAGTCCCATGCATATGTGGCATGCTTGCTTTGAGACTTCCTGAAACCCACTACTTTGAAACTTCTCGACTACCACTACAAATCCCTGCTTCCTTTCTCAGTCCTGTGTTGCTTTAAGCATGCAAAAGTCATCCAGCCTAGCAGAGCATCTTGTCTGAATTAACTGAGGAAATAAGCAGAAAGATACCACTTTAAGAATTTCCTGATAATCTGCAAGTCCCAGACAATGCATATACATAATTTCAGGTTTCTGATGTGGAATTATTATAATTATGTTACTATCCCTATTATTAAGTACCAAGCATCTTTGAATCTCTATAACATACAAGGCTTGGGCAGAAATAGCAGCCTATCCCATTATAAATGATACATAAGCCATTTTAGTTAACGTAAGAATTACTGTCATTTTCTGCAGGTAAAATTGGATCTAATCGCACAGTGGTGCTTGTTATTTGTACGGTCAAAATAGCAGCTTAAAAAGACAGTAAAAAGGGGGAGCAAAACAAAAGTCTCTTCAACCACAGGCAGGTCAAGAGTAATAACCACACATATGGATCAATAGCCGTTCCAATCTAAAAGGACAAAGGCCAGGAGATGAAAAAGGCTGCTAACTCAGATTCCTTTTAAAGTGTGTTCCGATACACAGCATCTGTAAATTCAAAGGGCCATCTTCCAAAGGATGTTTAATGAAGGTGTCAGCTTTTGAATGATGGACTGAAGAAAACATGAATAAATTCTAAAGATAAGTTGATACTTTCCCAAGCCCATTGCTATAAAACAAATGCTGGAGAGATAGATACTAATACATGACTTTTGCTGGACAAAAGTAGCATTACTTTCATCCACCAAGAAAGGCACCTTATCTGCATATCGGCAGTTAGCAAGAAACATTTACTGGCAAATTGCCCATTCATTTTTCATCTGCATTAATTACCTTTTTTCAAGGAGCTATCTGAATGTAGATACTGTCTATATTTTTAAAAGATAACATAAAGTAGTAGTTGAACACATATTTGGGCTGCAGCCTGGGAAACCACATAACTAACGTTGTGGAAGTCTTGTCCTGATTTTGATATCCCTGTTATTAGGTACGGAGCATCACTGAATCTAATGTCTGCCTATCTACAGTAGGTCTTCTGACTCTTTGCTGCTAAGTCAGGTCCGTAGCCTGCGTGGGGCCCACGGGGCCTGGCCTCCTCGCTGGTTTTGCGGGCCCCCTCCCCTGCTCCCGCCTCCCAAATCAGCTCTGCCACTGCCGCCGCCTCCTTCTCTGGCCCTGACTGTCAGGGTCCCGGCTCCGGCCACAGCCCTTCCTGCCTTGGCG